ATAATAATAATAATAATAATAATAATAATAATAATAATAATATTAACATTAGATTGAATGATGGTTATGAAGGGAATGCTAACCACTAGGTAGGTCTTAAATTTCTTAATTTTTGTAAGAATTATTCTTTTACTCATTTTAAAAATTTTCATGGTCTAATTCACTTCCTACTTTTGGATAGACAGTGAGGAAAAGCCCAATAAGACCCTGCTGATGTCTATAGCCAGTGCCGATGTCCATAGCCAGTGCCGATGTCCATAGCCAGTGCCGATGTCTATAGCCAGTGCTGATGTCCATAGCCAGTGCTGATGTCCATAGCCAGTGCTGATGTCTATAGCCAGTGCCGATGTCCATAGCCAGTGCTGATGTCTATAGCCAGTGCTGATGTCCATAGCCAGTGCCGATGTCCATAGCCAGTGCCGATGTCCAACTTGCATATACCTCCCAAATATAAGCAACAGTCTGCAGGATTTAATATAACGAAACATGTTTAAAGTCATTGAATTACAGTTAATGCTGTGTCACTTACTTTCTGTCATTCTGTCACCCTAAATGACAAAGGCATAGGACTGTAATTTTCCCCAGGCCAAAAATGGAGGTCTATTTAATGTCCTGGAAATTAAATGATTAATAATTTAACTACAGGTCATGAATCATCTTCCCGTCAGGGGCTCGGATATGCCGCCATCAGCGACCCTCCCGCAAGATAGGCAACTTTTAGCGTCCCTGACCATTTTATGCGCTAGCTTTTTAAGGGTGAATCAGTTTTCTTTTGTCGTTGGAGAGAAACACGCTAATCGCAGGACTAATCACTTTCGAGTTCGGCGTAAGACACAAGTTCAGTGCCCGGCATCACGCTCGCACCGCAGGGGTGCACTGATGCGCCTGCTTCTCAGCGTTTTTCTAAGACACCACGCAGGGATTGTCATTCTTTAGCATCGGAGTGGCTAACCCCGTTAGCCTTGCGCACTTGGCGCCTCCTTCCACCGCAGGTAATTATCTTAGGCCATCAATAGCCCTGTCGGAGACGGGGCCATAATTCAGCATTTAAATGAAGGGGCAGTGTAATATTTCCCGGCTCCCGGGGGAGTGTTGTGAAGCGCGCATTCCTCTCTGTCACGCTCGCTCGCTGGGTGATGTATGGGCCGCGCTCTGAACCATGCCGTTTCTCGCCTCCCGTTACAGGTGCTGGCTTCGGCTCGACACCTACTTCATCTGGAGCTTTATCGGTCCGGCGACCCTCATAATTATGGTGAGTGGCCTGTCAATTATACCCCTCCGTGCTCCCCTGGGGCAAAACTGCTGCCCCACCACCCTGAAGGATCATCAAACCCTTCTGCCAAACACCTGAGAGCAGCCAGCGCACTGTGCCGTGAACCGTTCACTTCCGGAGTGACACGTGCACAGCAGCGGATTGATTTTCCGGGTTGTTGCCTCCCTGCCCTCTGCACTCTGAACACACACAAGCTCTACACAAAGCCCTGTATCAGAACTGGGAGGCCATTTTTGTTTCTTTAACAGTTTATATAAATGATTTGGTTCACCTGAGATAGCGATGGTATTGTACTGTAGCTCACATTCAGTCGTCTTTTTCTTTCTTTTTTTCTTTGTGGTAACCAGGATGGATCTCGTTACAAACTAGATATTTTTTTTATGTCTTTATCATGTCAGCTAGTAGCAGCACCTTCAAAAATATATGGGATAGTACACGTTAAAAAAAAATACATAATCTATGTCTCCCTAGCTCTGGAGACTGGCAAAATGATGGTAGGCTGCACTGACTGCAGAGACTATTGCTAATTAAAATGAGAGTATCTGGAGACGGCGAGGAACGCTCCTGATATCTGTTATCAAAACGATGACAAATCTATCAAAACAGCTTCACCATAGTGCCGGCGATGGCTGAGAGAGGACTCCAGCCCGTTCAGATTTCCACGGCTAATTTCAGCTGGCATTTCGACAAGAGCGGATATAAACAAAGACCAGGCTGTTAAAGCCCCATGCTGGCACGAGTTTTTCCCTTTGAGCTTTAGAGCTTTAAAGTCCCCTGCTCCAGCCGCCAAACTGCAAAGTTGTTGAATGTTCTGTACGTCAAATGGAGATTTATTTATTTCTTTAATCAATGATACAATGGGTGTTTGACCCTAAAGTCTGCTTGAAACGAATGGGTGAGTGCAGAGGTGCTGAACGGCCCGTGTTTGTCTTCCAGCTGAACGTGATCTTCCTCGGGATAGCACTCTACAAGATGTTCCATCACACGGCCATCCTTAAGCCAGACTCCGGATGCTTAGACAACGTCAAGTAAGAACCCACATGGCTTTTTTGATGGGGAGTATTTCGGGCTATAAATATTTCAGACAAATAGGTGTCCTGGAGACTTGGTAAATAACTAATTTGGGAGCATGGTTTAGCATTCCTGGGTTAATGTGTCCCAGAGGACCCTACACCTGGCTTTGTGGAGCCCAAATCCAGATCGTCTTACATAGCACTCTGAATCCTCCATTTCCTGGGGAGTGGAGTCTTCACTTCATCAATAATAATCAGAGCAGACACTTGTTTATACTCGTAACTTGTGGCTGTTATCTGCAAACCCAGTCTGAAGAGGCACGTTCCATTACAGACTACCTGAAGTCGCTCCTAACAGGTGCAGGTTTTACAATCTGTCTATTACTCAGTAAGGCATGAAAGATAATTCTCAATATGAAGACTGGAAAGGTAGCTTTTTTTGGATCTTGCTAATACTAAAATGAGTTATAAAATTTTCTTTATCTTCACTCTCTGACAAGACACATCAATGAATGAACTTTACAGTTTAGCATTTAAATCCAGTACTGTTATCACTTCGTGTCAGTAAACTGTATTCACTCAAGCTCCCATATTTAATGTCAGTATAAAGAGGAAAGTGAATCACCAGGGTTGTAGGAACACAGATCACACGTGCTCTTCTGCTCAAACTGTGAAGCGGGTACAACATGATGAAAAATGACTGCCTATCCCTAATATTTATGCTGATTGTTTCTGCTAACATTGCTTATATTATTAATGAATCAAGGGTGAGACTTGCAAACACATGCCTGCATTATTTACCAGATGTAAGTAAGTAGGATTTACCAGGTTTGCCACACGTCAGCTTAGAATCAAAGGGTGTTTCACAAGTCTGCGATGGAAGGATGCTTTCATTTTGGACATCCTTGTCTCTCATACATGATAGATGACGTTCAGACCTGTGATGTACATGAAGCTTTGATCTATTATCCATTCCGGCTCCCGTAGCAGAGAGGTGGCTCAGCCATGGACCACTTGGCATGTCGTCAGAAACATGAGCGTCGCATGAACGTTATGTGATTACGGAAGATGGAAACGACGCGCATAGTAATAAAGACAAACGGCGCATCAGTCAGCGCGCTGTAATGTACACACGGCGCTCAGCCGTTAAGATGAGACCAAACCAACTGTATCTCCTACTCATACATATATAGCAGAGAAAGTTATAAAATCCCCCGTCAGCCGTATTAGTATTCATTCATTTTCCGTGCATATATCCATAGACATATTGCTTGCAATGCCATGAATTTTCCTGTTAGCTGATTTCAGAATAGAATGTATTTGCTTCTCAATCTATTCATTTATGCATTCAGGGTGCACCTCACTTATTTGCATCTCATTTATATGGTCACGTGTCATGGTGTGATGCTACGATAGGACCCCGGGTCCCGGTATAATGACAGCGGCAGTATGGCCACGCAGTAACTGTTTGTCATGTGCTCTCATCCTGACAGATGGCAGGCAGCAGTCTGTCCCTTAGTAATCCTTTATTTTCCATCACCTGTCCAGCTTTCTGTTACACTGTCTGGACACTTTGGCCTTTTTTGGTGACAGCAGCGATGCTGGATTGTCCTTTATTTCTCACTAACCCCTAATCACCAGTGAGCATCAGTCCAGTCTCGGCCGCCAGGGTGATGCTTTCGGGAGGAGGGGGGTGCTTTTGTTTGTCAGCTGCGTTTCCTCCCTGAGGCCTTCGGGAGCCCGCAACAGGGTGTGCCGTGGCCAGCTGGGGTGGAGATCAATGTCAGGGACTGAATGCCGGTCTGGGATATCATCATACAGAGATGCGGCTCCATCTTGGACCGGCAGTGGTGATGTCACTCGCTAGTGTCTATGGTGGAATGTTCACTCCACAGCGATTCGAGGGCCTTCGAAGAATTCCCTAAACCAAGGGTGTCTTTGTCCTCAACAGCATTTATATTTACCCATAAAGAGAGTCTTCATTTAACACTAAACGGGTTGTTCATTTGCCCCTAATCAGATTATTTATTCACTCCCAAACAGTATGTTCCTTTGCCTCAATTAGATTATGTATTCACTCTCAAACAGCATGTTCATCTACCCCAATCAGAGTATTTATTTACTACCAGTGCTCATTTACTCTGAATCAGAGTATTTATCTACTCCTTAAAAGAGTTCATTTACCCCAATCAGAGTATTCATTTACGCCCGAACAGTGCACATTTTCCCATGATCAGAGTATTTATTGTTTCAAAACAGTGTTCATTTATTGAATTTTATGTTGTAATGTACTCTGTACTCCTCTTTTCGAGCCAACATGGCATGTACTCTACATTAATGGGCATTTTATTTTACTTGGCATGTGAATTAAAAATTGGATTAAAATAGGTACAAATTATGTTTTTCTTTTAATAACACTTGGAACACAAACAAACAACTTCACCTAATTGCAAAGGAGTATTTCTTGATCAGGCATAAATATAAACCTTCAGATGAGTCAGTGATTAGATAAGAGCATGATTCATTCTTTGAGCACATGGTTCTGTATTGAAATGAACTTAAAAGTCCATTCCGTCTCCCTGAACTTAAACGTACCCTGCATCTATCACATCCTGCCACGTGCTCTTCCCAGTAAGAGGATGTTTTTCCTCATAACGTGACTGGCATGGCTGGTTGTATTCGTTCAACTCCAGATATGAAACTTGACCCTTGGCAAAAGCCACAAATCCCCTATATTAAAGCTATATTAAGTCTTTTCTAGCCCTTTTTTTTTGCTTTTTTTCTGTGGTTCAGTTCATGAAAAGTCATCCAGGAGACAGAAGCATTACTCTTGTAACATCATTACAATTCTAATATACCACAGATCTTTGGAAGTGGGCACCTTCATTTGTTATTAATTTGTTTCTTTACTCCAGTGTGTTGTAAACATATCCAGAGATCTGTGGTATGGACTCCGAAATATCTGATTTTTTTTAACACTGCCCCTTGTAAACCTACTGATTTCAAAATTTACATGGCAGTTTTCAGTTATCCACATACAGAATATAAACAAAAATTTGTTTGCCAATGCTTCATTTTTTCTCTATATAATTGTCTAAATATTGTTTCTTGGCATGAATAGTTTCAAAGTGGACATAGACTCACTATCTGCATGCCCGCTCATCTTCACGTTCACCTTTTATTGCTGTAGTTAACTTTCTTTTTCTGTCTTTTCTTTCATATCCTTCCATATTTAGCTATCGTTTTTACGATGGCCGTCTTGTTGTGGAGTGGCACTGGTAAGATGCAGCTGCGCCCTCTGCAATTTTGTTTTTCCAATCAAAGCTTCAGGTTATTGATTGGAAAGGGTTGTGTTGTATTGCGTCCCCCTTTTACCTGTGTGTAAGTGCTATCGCCACGACCGTGACATCATCAGAGTGCGGTGTGCAGAAACGGACACACTTGAGCCAACTGATTTGTATGGCTGAAATTCAGAGATGCATAATGTAAGGTGTTCTAAGACCAAGTTTTATCACATCAATTAATGTCCCGCTGACTTTGAGATGTAAGTATTAGTGTTTTCTTGTCAATATCAATTTGGTTGCATTTCGGCAGAACTGAGATCACCGATTCACTTTCTGCTTTTGAGTCAGCTGACACAATCGCATCAGCACACCTCAACGATTGCAGCACATTTCAGCACATGTCAGCACCTGGAAGACTGAGAAAAAACAAGCGGTGCTTAAAAACACAAAGTTAATTATCCATTATTTTAAATGTAGTTGTCTTCTCCCAGAATGCATTTTGCTTGAGAATCTCAGCAGGATATGAACGTACCTGGTGAATAGATGTGATGAGTCTATTCAGAGACAGAAGCCGTCTTTTTTCCAAGAATAATCAGTGAGGCTGTTTTCAGAAACTTAGCAGGAGCTGCTTCGAAACATAAAGATGCTTTCTGGGATCCTAAGTAATTTTTACGCTTTAGAAATGATGCAGACTTAGAAATGGTCCTTGTGTGCTGCAACCTATTCATATGAAAATCTCCAAATTGCAAGCACAGAAATCCACACAAATATATTTATATTCCCAGCCCTGTAGAAGCCTAAAGTACAGTGCCTGTAGTACTGAGATTTAAGAGTAGGGAATGTTTTTAAGTACAGTGCCTATAGTACTGAGATTTAAGAGTAGGGAATGTTTTTAAGTACAGTGCCTATNTAAGTACAGTGCCTATAGTACTGAGATTTAAGAGTAGGGAATGTTTTTAAGTACAGTGCCTATAGTACTGAGATTTAAGAGTAGGGAATGTTTTTTTTTTCTTTCTTTCTTTTTTGCTTTAACTAATATGTGTGACAAACAAAAGTACAAATATTCACCTGACTCATGAGTCATCTAGGGGCCTGCAGCGACAAGAAATCAGACAAGAACTTAGACCTGAAAATGAAAATCATCACACAGCGTGTTCGCTGTGCCGTCAGTCCAGCCTTATCCTCATAGCTCTGTAATTGTATGTCTTCTTGTACATGTGCACAGTTTTTTCCTGGTTTACTTTGTTGTCCCTGTACATTTTATCCTTCATATTTCATTCTTGTTGCTTGTTGCTTGTTTTGGCATGTAATGCAGTGGAAATGCTTGCTGTCTTTATTATTTGGTTTTATTTTTCTTTTCTCTCTGCAATCTTTAGCTATGAGGATTATCAACCTGAAATCAAGTAAGATTCGTCACAAATTCGTTAGCTCCGTGTAATTTAACTTACGTGCCATTCGTCTGCGCATAAGAATAAATGTGCACATCTCCAGCAAGTGTGAGGACACGGTGTTTCCATAATCATGTGTACATCTTAATACGTATTTATTGTGCAGAGCAATGTTCTAATATATGAAAGCTCTCACCTCATAAGGATATAATTTCAGTTTCCAAAAGAAACACCAATCTCTAGAAATAAAGCTAAAATTGGTTTTTGCCAAACTGAGAGCTGTTCAGTTTCTTCTTCACTGTACAAGACAAATCAACAAGCCCCTATCCTTTGAGAGCTGTGAAGGACTATAATCTAAAAGGCTGATGGAGGGATGGACTAAATGATAGATCTTGGCAGGAATTAGAAAGCCTACCATGTAGGGCTGCACAATTTGGGGAAAATATCGAATCACGATTTTTGTGACAGAAATTGCGATTATGATTTGATTTGCGATTAAATTTTTTATGTCAAGCTTCAGTTCAGTGTGTAGTCATTTTAAAACATATGACGCAGCATGAGATACCATCAGTATTAACTGGTCTATATTCTAATGCGAGGATGAGAATTTGTATGCAACCCTTTTGTTTGCGCTATTGTGTTGTTAGCTGCTGTTATTAACACTAATAACACTCAAAAAACCGTAATGTTCATAACAGAGTGGCTGTTCTGTCCTGAAACCGTAAAGCTGGAATTTTTTAAACGTAGTATGCATTTTGTATGAATAAATAGAAGTCGTTTATTGGTGATTTCATGTTGGTCGAAGTTTCCGCTTTTTAACAACTGTATACGGTTATTTTCTATACAAATCAATTCAGGTGAAACAAAAAATGTACGTGTTCATGTTTACAAACTCTTTCAGACTCTCACGCAAGAAATCTTACGGCAAATCTATATTCCATTCTGAACTTAAAATTAGCTGCATCAAAAACGTTACGGCAGTTTGCAAACCCTACAGACTATTTACAACGTAATAAAACTTACATACATGTAAATGTGTGTGCAGAACAGAGAACAGAAAATCTCACTCCATGCAGCTGACCGAAGTTGCCAACTCTGCATTTTATTTTAAATGAGAAGTAAAATGCAGTTTTCGACTGAAGCAGCTTATCAATCCTTTGCTTTGTTACTCGGACAAATACAAAACGAATGATTAAACATTATATGCGTCTCTTTTTGTATGTTTTCTAAATAAGACCGCGTGCCCCTACCCAACTGTAATAGCGATTAAAGCGATCTATTCTTTTAGTATTTATGTTAAAGCAAAACTTTTATTTTATTATTGTTGTGGGATTAAGCTTTGGAAACACTTAAATTTACTGTAATAAGCACAAAAACATATGACATAAACACCACTGTATTGTGGGTTTTACGGCTTTTTGGAGGTCAACGACTCCGCTGCTGTGAGAATTACTGACTGTCTCATTGTTGTTTTGATGGGTTAGCGGTATACTAATGCTATTGCCTGTTAAAAAACCAAAGGTATGATACACTGAAGTATATTGCAGCTGGTGTTTAAAAGGAGCTCGCCGGTTATATTGATGATAGGACCTTTCTGAAACAATCTCGGACCATGAAATAGGAAGGCAATTCACTTACAGCTCAGTAGCGGAATCAGTATTTTTCCGCACCACGAATGTAACATTTTCCTTGGGTTTCACGTGTTTGCTGTTTGTGGGCCTATACGCGGTCGTCTTGGGCCACTTCTGATTGGTGAGCATGACTGGCACGCGAGAAGCACGGCGCTTGTGATTGGTGAGAATGACTGTCACACAGGGAGTACGGCATGAATTTGTAAAACTATTCTCACAGCAGTTTTAAACCCTGGGTCCGACGTGCTGTATATTGTATATCCTAAATTGCGATTTTTGCGACTTACTAATCACATTGTTTCAAATCGCGATTTCGATTTGAAATCGATAAATCGTGCAGCCCTACTACCATGGCACTGCAGGTAAAGAGTCCCCTCTGACAGTTTCCCTCTCCATCCCATCACCCTTGTTACTCTCTCCGCCCGTTTGTCCAGGGTATGGCTGAAATGTTCATTTACACAGCTACAGTTAGTGACGGCATGCTTTTTCCTCACTGCCACAATGGCCAGAAATTGTGCCACATCCAGAACATTGGTATATCAACCATCAGCTTGTCTGGAGTATACCATGTTCTGTGTAAAAAAAAAAAAATTAAAAAGCCAACTCATAAGATGTGTTGTATGTTCTCTGCTGAGCTGTCTTTATGTGAGTCGAGACCAGTTGAATCCTCATGCTTCGAATTGCTTTTAATGTCTGTATCCATCTTCAGAACACTGTCCAAGCTTCTCATATCAGATCTCAAGCCAGTCAAGGCGAATAAGAAAAGTCTTTATACTTGTTCCTTTTCCTGCGCACACCATCGCCTCCTTAATTATCGACGAATTAACACCAAACCCTCTTGTGACTGGGTGGGAAGATCTGGGACTTGCAGTGATTTTTTTTGTACTTTTTTGTTTCTTCAGCAGGTAAAAGGGAAAGATTATTTAACCAGAAGATAGTGTGCTAGACCAGTGCCAGGGATAATCAAATCTAATCACCTCTTTTGTTCTGTAGCATTTTGGCAGTAACACTTTTTACTGCCAAATTAGCTGAAAAAATTGAAGACCATCACCATGATGCAGTCACAGGAGAATGACCTTTAGAGGATAATTACATGTTGAATGGACCTAAAGTTTTCCAGAATGTTCTGTCGGTCTGTTCAAAAATATGATTTTCTAAAAATTGATGGTAAATGATCAAGGTTTTTTTGAACAATAGATGGGGCTCCCAACACATTGCTGAGTGTGTATTTTAACATGGACCAATTTGAGGTCTTTGCTGATCTCTGTGTTCTGGTGTTTTTCTTCCAGGTCATGGGTCATAGGGGCCATTGCACTCCTCTGCCTCCTGGGACTGACCTGGGCATTCGGGCTCATGTACATCAACGAGAGCACCATTGTCATGGCCTACCTTTTCACCATATTCAATTCACTGCAGGGGATGTTTATCTTCATATTCCATTGTGTGTTGCAGAAGAAGGTAACTTTTATTTACAATGTTTCATGCATGCCTGGAGCTCATCACATCTTAAGACAAGCCTTTTGCTTTAGAGTTAATATGAAGCAATATTAAGTGAATGCTATTCCAAACAGCAGTGCTGCCTATAATACCCTGTTTTTAGTTTTTGTGGTGTACTGTTAATTCGTTTTATACCTTTTTGAATTTTCATTCATCTACTCCCTACTAGTATATAAGTGTTTGATTACTGTATTCCCTACTGTTTTGAAATATGCTTGAATAGCAGCTGATAAGCCAGCACTATAGTTTAAAAATGCTGTAATATAACAATGATACCCACCCTGTGTGTCTTTAGCCGTGTTTATGTAAGGCTTTCGATTGTACAGTATCATCATTAATGATGCATCTCCTTTCAAATGCAGTGACAGCCTGTCTCAGTGATTACCTGTGTTCATCATCTGCCTCATTCCTAAACTAACTTACTGAGATTATGAACACAGTATCTCAACTGTACAGATTCATTTAAAAAGCAGCACTGTTTATCCAGCAAATGAATGAAGTCATTGAAGTACAGTAGACTAACCCAATTTGTGCAGAATAATTGTATGCACATGAAAGGCTGATCACTCAGCGGAAAATGTCTTTGATTTTAATTTGTATTTAGGCAAGATTTTGTGTAGTCGCACATGGGCAACAGAAGATGTACTGGGGGAGATGCAGATGATTTGTTATAGACTATATGCACAAGTATTATCTAAGTTTGGTAGGCGTCTCATTCTTTCTGTTTAAATGCCGCTTGTGTCTCCTGCCGTGTACAAAAAGAACATGTGACTCTGCACACCAGTCTCTTTCGAAGTCGGTATGCCGGATCGACTACTCATCTCCTGCCATTGAAAATAATTCGTTTTGAATTGCGAGCTAATTGAAAATGTTACAGGCTGCAGTTAATGCTGTGCGTCCGTGACCCAACAACTAACTAAAAAAGTCAACATCAGATACTAAAAGTCTGGCTTATCACAGCTTTGCTTTAGTTACCGTCTCTGACGGTACTGATTAAACACGTTGTTGGACGTGATTTCATATGTTTAAGATTGTGAGGTGGGGTGAGGTCATTTGACACACTCACACAAAAATGGCTGTTTTTTGCTTTCTTTGCTCCCCACCATTTTGTCAAGCCCTCTTCCTCTCCTGCACCCAAACAGTTCATATCCCTTTCTCCTATCTCCGTGATTCTATTCACTTCCACCGAAACAAATTTTACGCATATTTTTAATACTAATAATTTGGTATCGCTTGCATTTTGTACATACAGATTCTCCCATTTCCACATCTGGAATGCTGTTGGAGAAATAAGAACATTTTTCAGTTCCAAAATGACCTTTGGGTTTCCAGTCAACGTGCTTCCTGGATTATACTGTACACACAGTGGGATTAACTTAGTTCTCTAGGTGGGCAGTTTATCAGTGATCAGGTTCATGGTGTGTGTAGTCGTACAGTAGTTAGGTGCTTTGTGGTTCCATGTTAACAGACGGGGCAGTAACATTAGGGAGGAAGGTAGGGTCTCTGCAGGTCGTAGACCGTCACTTGACCTCCCCCTTTACCTTCCCAGGTACGTAAGGAGTACGGCAGGTGCCTCCGTACCCATTGCTGCAGTGGAAAGAGTGTGGAGACGTCCATTGGCTCAGCTAAGAGCTCAGTTACCCGTACACCGGGTCGGTACTCCACAGGTTCCCAGGTGAGAGGTTCCCACACACCTGGCCGCTACTCTACAGGCTCCCAGGTGAGGGCTTCACGTACACCTGGTCACTACCCTACACTATCCCATCTAAGGGCTTCATGCACACCTGGTCACTACTCTACACTATCCCATCTAAGGGCTTCATGCACACCTGGTCACTACTCTACACTATCCCGTCTAAGGGCTTCACGCACACCTGGTCACAACTCTACACTATCCCATCTAAGGGCTTCTCATACACCTGATCACTACTCTACACTATCCCATCTAAGGGCTTCTCATACACCTGATCACTACTCTACACTATCCCATCTAAGGGCTTCACGCACACCTGATCACTACTCTACACTATCCCATCTAAGGGCTTCATGCACACCTGGTCACTACACTATACTATCCCATGTAAGGGCTTCACGCACACCTGATCACTATTCTACACTATCCCATCTAAGGGCTTCACGCACACCTGGTCACAATTTTACACTATCCCATCTAAGGGCTTCACGTACACCTGGTCACAACTTTACACTATCCCATCTATGGGCTTCTCAGCTCACTATGCACACTATTCCACATAAAGGTTTCACACACAGCTGGTTGCTACCCTTTAGTTTTTGTAGATTCACACCCAGCCAGCCCTTTGGTCCGGGCCCTCGACATGACAATGCAATGTCTTTCAGTTAGAACAGTGTGATGATGGAATCTTCTTTGCGCATTTAAATCTCCATTATCATCTTTTCCATCAAATTGTGAAATAGCATGCTGCAAAAATAATGGCTCACGCCCAAATCAAAGGTAAAAGGTTTGCTAATTATTGGCTGCTAACTTGAATTGCAGGGAAGAAGTTAAGTGCTGGCTATAAAGAGGCAGTAATTGATCACTAGCTCAAAGGTTTTTAAAGTAAACATGTAATTAGCAAAGTACATTGTAAACAGCTGGCACTGGATTTAAATGTACAATGAGACCTTAAATTGCCCGACCATGTTTTATCTCAGCTCTGTAACTATGACATTTCTTTGTATTTATGCTCAATAGAAATAGGGATACTATAATAGCACTGGTGGATTTCTCTTAACTTGATTTAGTTATTGTATGTTTTTGGTGTAAAGGTTGATTTACTTCAAGTTCCTAACACATAATCTTTGTGTTTATAGCTAAATATAAATTGTTTGGTCGCCAGGCACTCCATTCAGAACTGAGTCATTTCAATTCAAATGGGCCTTTGTTCTATCCAGAGGTGCTGCATAAATGTCAGGGGGACAGGAAATGGACTTGGAGTTGAACCGGTTGGATATGTTAGATTCATATTCACCATTAGTACTTTTTTTTTTCAATAGAACTGCACCCTGCAATTTCACCCTCGTCACCGACATACATTTGCTTGTCGATGTTACTCTACTCAGTCATAGGAGTCTGACAATAAGACTTATTAAGAATTATTTTAAATTGTCAAACGGATGGTCAGAATGCCAGCAACAGTATGAGACCCAGTGCTACTCACACTGTTAGCAACATTGACAGTTACACTGTTGGCTGCAATACCAGTAATTGTGCTGGCCACATTGTTAGTCACAGTGCTAGATGTAATACTAGTCATTGTGCTAACTGCAGTGCTAATCATGCTGACCGCAATGCTGGTCACAGTAACTGCTGCAGTTCCAATCAAAGTGCACAAATACATTATTATTCACAGTGCTAACTACAATGCTAGCCATTGTACTGATAACAATGCTACCTGCATTGCAAGCTGAAATGTTAGTCATTGTGCTGTTTGCAGTGCTAGTACTTGTTCTAGCTGCAATGCTGGTTATTGTGCTAACCGGAATGTTAGTCACAGTGCTAGCTGCAATGCTAGTTATTGTGCTAACTGTAATGTTAGTCAAAGTGCTAGCTGCAATGCTACTTATTGTGCTAATCACAGAGTCAGTCACAATGCTGGCCACCATGTCTGCAATGGCCCAGCCTCATAAATGCACCCTTTGGGCCGTACCGTTGGTAATGGCTTACTTTCTGACTGTTGATGAAGCACGTGTTACATTTCCAGAAAATCGATAAAAGAACAGTGTTGATGTAAAGGACATATTTTTAATTTCACATTTCAGCAGTTTCAGTAAATATAAAACATCACTGTTGAATTCAAACATATACTCAGCATTGAGTAGATATGGACACTTGTCATTATTTTTTATGGCCAGTGTGACATGTATAGTACATTTCTTCTTCCGGTGACTGTGTTTGCAGAGACTGTGTTTTATGGCTTTCAGTATACGTCGCTCAAATCGTACATTATAATTAAACCCGTCTCAAGCTCATTTAAACAGTTTGAATTTGTCGAAGGCTTGGAATGGAAATTGTGGGAGCAAAGTAATAAGAATCAGTCGTTTGCCAGAGCCACTTCTACTGGGCCTTGGCTGCCCCACAGATCACACATGGCTCACGGCTTGATTAATGGATTGGCTGTGCAGATTGGAGGCCTCGGTCTCCGAAGTCTCATTTCAAGGCTTCAGGTCGTTAGTTCATTTCTTTGTTCTGTCAGCACAGCAGAAAGCGTGAGGCTGTCAGCCTGGACACTTGGGGGTTACTCTTCATTTTTATTTCTTTCTTCTGTTTGTTTTTTTTTTTCTTCATCCTCTCCACGTCTGTCCGTCCGCAGAGCCGGATCCGTCGGATGTGGAACGACACCGTCAGGAAGCAGTCTGAGTCGTCCTTCATCACAGGCGACATCAATAGCTCAGCATCGCTGAACAGAGGTAATAATTGAATTAATTGGCTCTCCTTCTGACTTGCTCTGCCAGCCAGAGGGAGGGCGACATGTTGTCTTTCTCCTGTGGAACTAATGAGGATTTAAGAGCTCTCTCTCTCTGCAAAAGTCCAGTTCGCATAGATAAATTACAGCATGGCGAGCTCCCACGTTACTCACCGTGTCATGGGCATTCATATTTCTAGGTACCGGTTAGCACTTCTGGAACAGTATCCTGTTGCTCCGGAAAAAGAAACAGCTTCTGAATGGCCTTGAAACTTGAAAATGGGCCACATGTCCTCATCGGTCTTAGATACTGCGAAATATCTGGGAATGCCTCAAAGGCTGACCTGAGCATACTTACAAACAATCCGAAAGGACTACATCGGAAAGCCATCAATACTTATTTCCAACTGACAAATGGGCGCATCTCTATGAGGACAGTACTTCTCGTTGTTAAGTGTGCCGACAAGAGCAGCAGCTTGGGGTGAAGGATGTTGGCTGAAAATCTCCACGTTACAGACTTTGATGGTCCAGCAAATGTTCTTCTGTTGTACCTCTGAGCACAGATCCCGTCTATAAGATAGCTTCTATAAAAATGACTTACACAGCTGGTTTTTGAGTCAGAAGCTGGAGGGATGTCTGAATTCTAAAACCACCACATAAAGACTGTAACAGCTTCAGCCAAAAATGTGTATTTTTCTCTGAAAGCCAAAGGCTTCTCCGTACATCAGCTGGACACACCCATCTCTCGACAGAGGACCGTGCCTCGAGTTCTCTAAATCTGCTCCGAGCTCAGATTCTCCAAGACAGTAATATGCTCTTATGATGACGGATTGATGTTATGCTGGGGAGGCAAGTGTCAGGATCTCAATAATTATGCACTTAGCGGGGCTGTCCAAAGAGAGCGTTTTACAGCTAGGGACAGGCAGTAGGCAGACACATTGCTTGTTCGTAGAGCATATTTCAATACAGGCATACATGAGGTGGTTAATTAAAGCTTCTTCATTCAAATGGATAACATGATGCCTCTTCGGGGTAATTTGCCTAAAATAATTTTTCTGATACATGTTAGCAGCACATAAATGGAGTCCCTTAAAACAGCCTCCAGAAAGCGAGCAGTTTTATTGATGGCTTTTCCCATTCCAATGCCCTGTGTATTCTGGGACATTGAGGTCTCCCACATCTACCTCCCAGCTCCATGTGGTCATGCGCGCTTTCAACGTGAAATTAGATTTTCAGTTGGTGTAGTTTACCGTTCAGCCCTGTCCTCTCCTTTTCAGCCATCAATAGCATTTTATTACTTGTGTATGGGTTTGGACTTCAGATAGTTTGCTAAATTCTGACAGGGTGTACTGTGTCGTGCAGCTGGTGATGTGATGCGTGGTGATGTTGACAAGAACTGCGGGAATATTAGCATGGCAGCCATGACCGCGCAGCATGCTCGCTGTAACAAATATAAACAAAAAGTGCGAGCGTACATGCTTATATCGGCTTCAAGCTAAATATTCAGATATGAAAATATCAGAGTTACAGGAAGGCTCAGCATGCCGGCAGCTTTGTAAGGGACCACGTAACCACACTTTTTCCTCTTTGTCTTTTTTAATAACTGTTGATCAGAGAAATAGATTAGTGAGCTTCAGCCCATGGAGTCATTCGCGGTTGAATAACGAACAAAAACAGAATCCCAGTACCTTCAGTGCTTTGATTTCCTTCAGATTTAATTAAACGAAATGTTCAGCATGCGGCTCTCAAGCTGAGGAGACCCCACTATGCCGGCCTTCTGCACCTCCTCAAGTGTAACCTTGTTCGATGACATCATCTCAAAGCTTTAATACACAGAGTCTCAATAGATTTAAGCGTGGTGTGGTTTCCCACACACTGTTTTTTTAATGTGTTAGTTTTGTTTCAGAAGTTTGCAGAAGAACTGTAAAAACAATGATACTGCCTCCAGCGTGGCTGTTGCCTGATCACACATCAGTGAAGTTAGCACAGTATGATAGGTCAGTGGGTAGTGCTGATACCTCACACCTCCCAGGCTCTGAGTCTGAGTCCAGCCACAGCTCTGAGTTTGTGTAAGCTTGCTCACAAAGAAACACAGTTCAGAAGCTTTGAATTGTTACCCTACATGTGAGAGAACACCCTATAATGGACTGGCATCCTGCCTGTTTTGTGTCCACCTTACACCAGGGATGGAGTCTGGATCACCACAACTGTGCTTGGATACCCGCTTAAGGGGTGGATTATTGACCAGTAGGTGTTTGCCAACTTTTCTTGAATACCTGTCTTCGAGTTGCTCTTGAGTGTGACGGATATTACTGTAACAGTCTCTGAGATATCAGGGTCGCTGGTCAAGATCTGATCAAGTTCATTCTCAAATCATGTGTTTAAAATCACTGGGAACAAAGTGGCCTTTTAAAGAGAAACGAGAGGTGATGTCATTCAGGTTGTGTGTTTCCAGCGTTCCCTCACCTCCCGCTCACAGCTGCACATTACGCCCTCACCCCCCAAACACCGCTGTGAATCACGCGCTTGTCTCCTTCACACCTGCATTTTTCTGCTGTTTAATAATTGCCATAATGTCAGTACCGAACGCAGGCTCCATCCCTCTTGCTGGATATCCATGCGTGCTCAGCTCGTCGCCGCTGTACGACGGGGGAAAAATACACAAACAGTTTTGAAGTATTTTCCTTAAGTGCATTTGGCTGATTGATATGTGTGTCTCTTTCTCTGTCTCTGTCCGGCTGCTCCAGGAACCATGGCTAACCACCTTATAACCAATGCTCTGCTTCGACCCCACGGCACTAACAATCCCTATAACACTTTGCTTGGGGAATCGGCAGTCTATAACAACCCGTCTGTCAGCATGTACAACGCACAAGGTGTGCTGGACATTTTTTTTAACCCTGCTTCTCCCTCCCTCTCTTTCTCTCTTCCCCTCCCCAATACCATTGGCAGCCTTATTTCTGAATTGGGCTGAATATAGACACTGATTCTTGGTGCACTTGCTGCTTTGGATCAGGGTACTTATGGCTCCCAGGAAGGGCATTGAACTAAAATCAGTCTGACAGACCATCTGACAGACATAATATGCCCAAGCCGACTGTTAGCAACGATATGCTAAATGCTAACAACACGACAATAGTGTGATTGTCTTTGATCGTAACCTTCTGGAAGCCATACATGCCTATCCTTGTGTGCATTTTCCCGTCCTTAACAGTAACGTGTTCTGTGTTTGTTTGTCTGTAATCCTAGGTTTCATTATCCTCTTTCATGTATGTTTTAACAAAATATCTGTATTAATTCAGCAAGACTACCAAATTTCAGTGGATTAAATGAAAAGGAAAGGTTAAAATTGAGGACAAATTAGCAACAATAATACAAAATGTCTGTTTTATGTTTCAGAGGTTAAAACAAAAACATACTTCATATACTTGAATAATTGTATGTTTTTAATAATAATATATTTCCAATAATTGTAGTGCATTAAGCATTGTATTAAATTTCCATTTCATCAGTTTCACTGCAATTATTACCATTTAGCAGCTTCTGTCAGAATGCATTCTGACAGTAAAATGAGTGTAAAACCTGAGAGTTTGGCATGACTGTCCATGAGCTTCTTCTCAGGCATGTGTGGTTCTCCATCCTCTTTGGAGTTCATTAGGCAGTCCTTCAGAACTTGATACCGGACTCAGATAGTTAATCTTCTCCAAGCAGCTAGGGGTATCCTGAGCAACTTCACTGGACAATAACTTCCTTGTTACCTTGCAGTCTTGCAGAGTGTTCCAGACTGAATAGGGGGGTGTGGGGGTGACTGTGAGGCATTGCACAGTAGTGTGAGGAGTGCAAATGAATTCGTCAAAAAGCATGCATGTCCTTTTTTACATCACCCTCACAGAAATCATGTAATACTGCACAATATGTATGAACTGTTATAAGAATTAGCTGTTTATAAACATGACCCATAAGAAAAAATCCTTATTAAGCAGTTTTAAATTTAAATGTATATTGCATTTTAAAATTGTAAAAATTGTAAATTGTACTACTGCTAGTATTCTAATGGTCTGCTACAAATTATCTGGAAATATTCAAGATATGTATATATATGATATTAACGAAAAAGGGGCATTTATCCTAAGTTATTAAAATTTAGGTGGCATATTAAATAAAATTTGATGTATGGAATTTGGTCACACGTCCTGTTATGGGGCAAGTGTAAAACAGCTTCCTACCCCCCCCGGCTAGGAATCAGTGCAGCACATCATTTAACTGACAGTGAAATATTTCAGATAGCTGAGTAAGAAAGTGTCCATTTCTGTAAACGTTTCCCTATTTTTTTACCTTTTTTTTGGGTGGGGGGGGGCTGGAACACTTGAGATAAGTATTTTTTCATATCAGTCTCATGCAGTAATATGGCTTTACATTTTAAAGGAAAAAAGTCAGTAAAGAAAAATGTCCTCTCCTGTAAATATGCTGTATTGTTTGTTGGTGTGTGGCCCTCAGGAAACATCCTCAGAGTCGTTTGCATGCTGTGCATCATCAATCTTTCTGGTTTATTGTTGTTTTATCTACTTGTCACTGTTTGCTTACTTGTTTTTCTTTCCTCTCCTCCATGCTGTCGTTTAGACCCCTACAGAGAGACAAGTATGGGAGTCAAACTAAACATTGCATATCAAATGTAATTGACCACAGCTTGCTTTCTTTTCACGCTGCACTGGAAAAAGTGTGGGGGGTGGGGGGGTGGAGGGTAGTGGGATAGCTAGCCAATCAGTGCCTGAAATATCGCTAACTTGACATGGGAGGCAAAGTTACTCTCTGTCGTATTGACAGAAGACAGCACTCCTTGGTTTGAGTGTGTATTCCATTTACATTTACAGACTGCAGAGGAGAGGGCAGGTCCTCTACAGGACAGATGTTAATCCACTTTCAGGCACATAATGTTCATCCTTAAGAAGTATTGCCACCCCACTTCAAGGAGAACATCCTTCTTGCTTATTAAATTAATCTGGAAATTGCGGTAAATCATACTGTCCCTAGTGCAAGAACAGTGAGACCACAAGTGACCTGTATTTACTGCATTTTTAACGGAACCGCAGGCCTGTCAAAAAGTTACAACCGGCTGGCAATCCAGTTTATAAGAATAATATTTTATTTATTGCAAAGAATACTAATTGTATTACTTTCAAACTGATTAATGTAAGAAAGAAATCTGTAGTATCCTCTATTGGATCCTAAATTTTTAATAAAATCTATATTGTGCTCAGTCTCAAAGCTTAAAAGGAATGGTTCATAACATAGATAAAGTAATATAATTAGTGTGTGAAACAAGACACATCGATCCACCAGCAAGGCCCTGAATAGGATGACTGAAAATGAGAGATCTGAGCGCGGTAAAAGTCGGCAATAGAGACTGAGGCTGCCTGTGTGCCAGACCGTTCTTTGGGGTGCTGTTACATCAGCTTATTATGGCAAGACAGCCCACACAATGTTTAGCACAAATAGCATTAATAGTAAGCAGGGACTTATGGTGCCACTGTGGTAATTTACCCTGATATAATTATAGTACATTGACCCAAATAAATTAAATAAAATAAACTTAAGCAAATATGACACTTTGTCTTATTATACACATGGGAGCCACTGTTTCCTGTTGTCATCTGCTGTCTGATTGTCTTGTGCGCATCACTGTGTCTTTAATGATTGTTGTGCATGAAATAATTGTTTTTTTGTATATAGTACAACATGGAAGTTTTATAGTATGATTGCTTTGCAAACCACAGCGTATTTACCGTAATGTAATCTGGGGTTTAGATTTTATTGTAGTTGTAATATGAGTTACCTGTGATTCCGTGCACTTTGACTGAAAAGTTATACAAAGCGTGAAATTAAAAATACGGGATAATTGAAAAGCAATTCTATTGTCATAACCAGGGATGGACATAACTGGTACACAACGTGCGACACGTGCGACGATGGATTGTGTTAACAGTGTAAATGCGTATTTATTTTATGTGTATTTGCGCTGATATGAAAACAAAATATAATGCATTTTAATCTTTATATGCTAACTCTACTTCATTTGCGGTATACAGGTTAAAATGCAAGGTATTTTCTTCATAGCAGCGCAAACACACATGAAATAAGTACGCATTTGTCCTTCTACAAATAATTGATTGTCGCACATATCGTTTTTAAAGGTGAATGCGTACTTGCGTGCCAGTTATGTCTATCCCTGGTCATAACTTTTATTTTAGTCATGAATTGCCATGTATATCAGTCATATGTACAGATACAAATTTCTCCAAAATATAAGTACCGTCAAAGTTTAGAATAATTCCAGATATTTTTTAAGATTTCTGAATTGAAGAATGAGTGTAACTTGTGGATAACCTTGTCTGTCATCTTTCAGAGGGGATCCTGAACAATGCCAGGGATACAAGTGTTATGGATACTCTACCACTGAATGGTAACCACGGCAACAGCTATAGCATGGCCAGCGGGGACTACATGAGTGACTGCGTCCAGATTATAGACCGTGGCTACAACCACAAGGAGACCACTCTGGAGAAAAAGATCCTGAAAGAGCTCGCCTCCAACTACATCCCATCCTACCTGAACAACCATGAGCGATCCACCGAGCAGAGCCGCAACCTCATGAACAAGCTGGTCAACAATGTCGGTAACGCCAATGCCAACGGCAGCAGTAAGGGCGACGGCATCGTGCTGGACGACGTCTCCTCGTTCGGCCACGAGGAGGCGCTCGGCCTGGGTCTGGAGCTCATCCGGGAGGAATCGGATGCCCCGCTGCTGCCACAGCGCGGCCTGCCTGCCGAGACCCACCCACCTCCTCACCCCTTCAGCCGACGACGGGTCCCACAGGAGAACAGCGAAAGCTTCTTCCCGCTGCTCACCAACGAGGAGGCTCCGTCGCCACACCGGGACTCCCTGTACACCAGCATGCCCACACTGGCCGGTGCCGTGGATGACAGCGGCGACACGGAGCCGGGAGGCGTGGTCGATGACGGCGAATCTTCTGTGGCCAAAGGCACCGGCGACGCTGACGATGTGTACTATAAGAGCATGCCCAACCTGGGCTCCAGAAACCACATCCACCAGCTGCACACATACTACCAACTGGGCCGGGGCAGCAGTGACGGCTTCATCGTCCCCCCCAACAAGGAAGACTCGTCTCCTGAAGAGCCGGCCGAGGAGCCCTCCCACCTGGTCACTAGCTTATAGACAGCCCCCTCGCCTCCTCTGTGGCTCCCTGCCCTGATCTGTCCACTGTCAGCAGTCGTAGGCATCTTTGTTCCCCCGTGTCTCTGTGGGAAATGTAACATACTCATCTCGATACCTACTGAAAACGGAAAGAGAAAGACCAAGTGGGACGGCCTGATAGGTCGGTGCGTGTCTCTGTGGTGGTGAGGTCAACACAACCTGAACGCTCTAGGTTTGTGCGGCTTTTGCCCTCCATGCTTTTTTTTTTTTTTGACATCCCAAAGGAATTACAAAACAAAAGAATTAAAAAAATGGCCTCCGAACTTTCCTCCATTAGCTCAGTGTGTAGGATAAACAAAACCGAATCAGAAACTATTTTATTATACTTCAGTATCCATACTGGCTTTTTTTAAAAATGGCAAAACAAAAAAAAAAACTTTCTGTTTGGTAAAATACAGCATGTTGTGCTGTAACATTCCTGAAAGTTAAGCAGGACGTTGTTTTCAGCAAAACAATGAGACTCCTATCTTCAGCGGCGTTTTTGTTTTTGTTGTTACAGTTCCAAATGATTCAAAATGGGAGGTGAGAAGAATACCAGAGAATAATAAGATATTTCTATGTAATTGTACAGATACTAGCATTGCACATAATAGTATCTTTTTTCTGTTCCTACAAAATGTTAGTGTCTAAATGTAGTGAATAGAGCATTTCATTTCTGTCGTGCAGGTCCTGCAGATTGAGAGTGCCAGTAGAGGTATTCTTACAGGTTCTGGTCTTGCCGGTTGGCGGTTTCACTAAGGCAGTTGCTATTGGTTCTGGTTCTGAAGATGCAGTTCATGGTTCCAGTCTGGTTATTCTCTCTTTTCCTAAATGCAGAAAAAAAAATCACTGAACAGACAACGATCATTTCTTTTTAATTTTTTATTTTATTTTTATTTAGCAGTGTAACCACCGATGTTTTCAAAAGAGTTGTTTGGTTTTCTTCACTGTGTAGATAAAACACAACTACAGAGGTCATGGCAAACTATTTTGAAAATTGTGCTGAGAGCTAACTTCTGAAGAATATTACAGATATCCGAAGAAGGTTTTTACTCCAAGCAAGTAAGAAGTCTTCATTTATCGAGGGCATGGCAGGTGTGTGCCAGACGTAGGAAACAATGCTCCGTCGATAAGCACTAAACATTACGCAAAAAACAGTTTAATTATTAAAGAAGAACTTTTGGAGTGAGTAAACTGGAAATGTGTTTTCTCTTTTTTCCCCAGAAAGGAAAAATATTTATTTATTTGTTAAAAAAAGACAAAATCAAATGGAAAAAAATGTTGAACTTCAGGTGGTAAAGAATTTAGCAGCACATATATTAGTTTTTATTATTATGATTATGACTTTTATTTATTCATTTTGTATGGTTTCCAAGTTGAATGACCTCATAACTAATATTTGTTGTAACAGTGAAACTTGTTTGCCAACAAATAAATCACTGATTAAGATTTACAGCATTGTTAATGTTAAAGCCTGTGATTATTGTGGCTTCTGCTGAATGTGAATACTCCAATGATCTGTTGAATTACAAAGTTTATTAACAAAAGTTGGTGCCAATCAACAGTAAACTTATTTTTATTTTACGTTTAATTACTTTAATATTTACTGAAAGGTTTAACAGACTAATTAGATCTTGCAAATGGGATCAAATTTCACTGCACGTCTGCACTTGATCCAGTCCTGGCTGTTTATCTACTGATTAAGGGCAAAACCACTTTTCCATTTTTGGGATTTTCAGTGGCAGCCGTTTGACCCAGTTCCTGATCCGCTGGGCCACCTAACGGCCAAGAGTTCTAGTTACTTTTCGAAGTGGAAAAATGAGAATTTGACAGAGATGTTTTGCTGTGGTTTTATAGCCTTTCAAAAGGACATTGTAACTATCAGTGAAGAAAATGATGATGCCAGATGCCTATATTTGCTTATGTAGTGCTGTAGCCAGTGAAATTTATCCATCAATTTTTGCATTTTTTAAATCATCAAATATCCAGCTGCCTCTGATGCCTGGACGTACTGTCTCCTGTGTAATTAGATTATGGTATCAGATTGAATATTCATATGTCGGTATATCAGTGACAGTTTTGTCCTAATGTTTGGAGTCGGATGAAATAGTCAGTGGAGATTCCTTCTCTGGTCAGTTGCCCTGATTTTTGATAATGACTGAACGAGCTGAGCAGGTCCCTCCTGGCTGGTAAGAAAAGGTGAGGTTAGGTTACCTTCATGCTAACTAACGGGAGGTGGCGCCTGAAGAGCGGCCCGAACTGTCCTGACGGCACCAGTCAGTCGCCGGTGGGTTCATGGCAGGAAGCCAGCTCGGCCCCCTCCCATCTGCTCTGCTCCCACCGCCGTCCCATGGATAATTAACACTGTTTAAAGGCTCCTCCTTCTAGGTAACAGTAGGACGCTGAGCGGGAGACCAACTGGTTGTTTGGAGACCACTGTGTGTGTTTTTTAAAACAAACATATGAATGTACAAAGCCAGAATTAACAGCATTGCTCAGCCACATCTCCTAAGCTCCTAAGCAAGACCCACAGTGTAGGGGGAGTCCTCAGGAAGAGCCACGACACGCGAGGAGAGAAAGGTCACGCAGTGGTGCTGTGATTAGTGCTTTCTTTTATCACATTACCAGCTTTCCTGTGGTTTCATCGTTTGTATGTTAATTTTTGTATTTTTGTTGTGCCTGTAAAAGGTCACTTTTTATTGTTGCTTATTAAAATGACGAAAACAAACCATAAAACGTGCACTCCATTTGACCACACAACCCAGCGTGTACCGAGATTTAACAATGAGCCTCCGCGGGTGTATTGATTACGTCAAATTGTGGGGAGTGGGGAGGTGGATTGATTCAATCAATTAAGTCAGTTTAGCATCAGACTCAGAATGGGCATTTTCATAGCCCTTCCCACTAACCGTCCAGTGCACATCGACGGCAACACCAGTGCAGCCAAAGCTTATAAAGGGCAAAGATCGCGTACACTCAGAAGACCAGTATGGAAAAATAGCACTGCTGGAAAGATGGAATAGAGGATCACAATTCAATTATCAGCAATTCATTTACTGGACTTGTTTGTGCAACTAAATACAGTCTAGATAATAAGGTCACTGAATTCCGCTGTATTGAATTTTAAACTGTATTGTAGCTGTATTGTTTTCTTATTACAGGAAAAGGTGCAGTTTTACAAAATTATTGTATAATTAACCAGATGTAAATTGATTGTACACAAATTACTTAAGAATATCCACATCTCCTCATTCACTTTGTTATGCCGATAACAGTTACATTTACAGTTACAAATGTAAATGTAAATAACAGTTGCCATGTAAGACTACAAATATGTTTGAAATAGCAAGCTTATGGGAAAATTTTAATCCAGTACTTCTCTTTATGTCACGTTGATATTTAGCACAAGATGCATGACTATGCAAGGACAGATACTGTAGGAGATAGGAGGTTTCTTTCACTAAAAGCTGGTGGCAGGTTTTAATACTTACTTCACCGCTTGCCATAAGGGGGACACTTAAAAAACTGGCAGTCCCTATAAAGGCAGAATATTAAAGTTTAAGCTTCATTGGGGTGGTGCTGTAGGCAGGTACATCAGACCAGATTACATAAGTGCCCAGAGAGAAGCTGCTTTTATTTCCAGCCCACCTGTTTGCCCACTGACAGTTTATGGTAATAAAAGCCCTGCTCTCACAGTGAGGATGCACTCTGCCTTTTATCTGCCTTCTTTTACGTTGACCCTTCTGTGAGGAAAATTAATACTTATTGGGTGATCTGATTTTAGCTTTCTTTTAAAATCCCTTTGATCTGGTTGGTGTGTGTTTGTGTGGTCCAGATATACCTTCCCTTGTGGGGACCAAATGTCCCCACAACATGATGAATACCTGTTTTTTTATTTTTTACCTTATGGGGACCAGTTTCCTAAAAATCCATGCAATCAAAAAATTAAAAATGCAAAATCTCTTGTAATTTGTTTGGTTACCTATGGTTATGGTTATTCTTATACTTATGGTTAGGGCTGGGGTAGGGGTTAAGGTTGACATAGAAAAATTAGCATTTTTCCCATAGAAATGAATGAGTTGTCCCCACAAAAACAATGATTACATTGTCTCTGTGTGTGGGTTGTAATAAACACCTATTTGTCTGTCATTGTGGGGACCATTTTTCTGGTCCCCACAAAGATCTGTGAATGCAGTCAAAAAAGTAAAAATGCCAAAATCTTGTATTTCGTTTGGATACTTATGGTTAAGGTTACGGCTATATAGGGCTAGCTGTTAAGGTCGTCATGTTGGGATTAGAGTTTTCCCCCACAGAAATGAATAGAGTCCCCATAAAGATATGATTACAAACCTTTGTGTGTGTGTGTGTGTGTGTATTGAGGGTGAGCAATGCATTTCGGAGATGTGCACAGTAGCGACCTGTAGTCAGAGATAGCGATCCTGCAGTAAAAAGATGCTACCTGACTCGACCTTTTTATGATAAACTGCCTCCCCTCCTAATAACATTTATCCAACATTTCAATACAAATATGACAGACAGCCAGGTAATGTGCTGTCATCACCTGTCTGAAGTGGGCTGTTGTTCTGTGATTTCATAAACAGCAAGATTCTGGTTAGCCTGTTTTTGTACTTTTATTGCAGATAGTCTTTGCAAGCAAAGCAGTTGAAATTTTCTTCTACAGTAGTATCCTATAAATGAAAATTTCCGTAAGGTTCCTACAAGCTAGTAAATGCTGAGCATCAGCTAACGATCTGCATTATATTTGTGTTTATTGTTGCAATGGTTGCTTTTATCGTGCATATTTAAAATGTGATAGTTTATAGCCGTTAACAAAATATTATTAAAGTGTCAAAAATAATGATTATGCCCCCCCTGTTGAGAATTTCAGTTCATTCATACTTTATGAGAACAATTTGCATAGAAATGTAGGGGACCATCCACAACTGCAGCTGCATTAAGAACTGTCCAATATGGGTAACATTAGTAAGTTCAACTTTATATTTATATATTTGAACTCTATATCATTTTTGCAATTTCTTCTGCCATAACATTGTCAAGATGAAGTACATTTGCTGCCCTTAAATCCCTTTTTTGAAAATCCGTACAGACAATTTCCTTCTGACAAGCCAGGTGACTGGTGATATCCTTGGACCTGACAGGATAGGACTTTGTTTTCGTCCAGCCTTGACACGCTTTTCTTGTCGCTGCTGATAACACTGGGAGAGACTGATTTCCAAGTTCTTCCGCTTCAATGTGAACGAGGTTTGTTAATACCATTAGCTGCTGTTTGCAGGAACAACCGATGCCGTCAGAATTATTAAGACAAAAAAATGTAATTTGCCCCTGACTTTGCCATTGTAAAGTTCAGCTTTAGCTCCTTATTTCCATACGCTATGCAACTGCAAGCACATCTGTGAAGGTGGAATGCAGCATTGACTTGGACCAATAGTTCAGGGAATGGAATGAATACATGAATAAAAGAGTCGACTTTAAGATGCAGCGGCAAGGCCTGATACGTACCTTGGTCTGTGAATGTAGGGCTGCTTACGTTGAAGTCCCACAGAAACTATTTTCCAGCGCTTCCTAAATCACACCATGTAGAAGGCCAGTTAACCCTAAGTTAACCCCAAAAGTTCGTTCAGAATCAGAATAACTTTATTGTCATTGTAACAAGTACAATGAAATTAGGTGCAATCCCCATGTCGGACATAAAGAGTTTATTAAAGAGTTCAAAAGCATGTTGCACAAACTGCAGATTCATGGCGTGTATTATTTGTTAACTATATACTGATTACTTTTGTGAAAGTATAATAAGAAAATATGGGTCAATGTTATTATAACTGCGCGCTGGAGTTTTGTTTCGGATTAGAATTCTTCAAGGCATCGCAGCAAGAGAGGAGAGGAAATGGCGTGTTGCTCAAGTCTGCAGTACTTTAGAAGAGTGTCCTTGAACATGAATAGTATTTTTAATTTTCTTGTAAGTATGCTTTCTTTTAAAATATATATTTAAGATATATATTTATTAATTGCATGTATAACGATTTCCCCAAATGAATGCTGAAATGTAAAGTCATGAGTTTGCGTTTCCAGAATTATTCCGTTTGTGGTGACCCAGGTAGAGGTCCTTGTGTGGGTCGAGCTTCTCTTGGATGTATTTGAAGCCCAAATGAATCTTGATGTATATCCAGGGGCTCTGGATTCGTCTCCACACGCCTCCTCTGTATGAATAATTTATTGGTGAAAAAGGTCGATAGTATCAGTGGTTGTGCGTCTTGCTCCCGTCTCCTTCTTGTGCTTCTTGTCTATTTTTTCTCCCTTCAGGAAACTGTTGCTGGCTGATTTTTTGACACATTTGACTTGGACTGGAGAATTAAATTCACCCGGGCACTTGAGACGTCCGCACATGTATTATTAATGTCCCACTGTCGTAAAGTTCACAGCACTGGAGCAGTATGACA